TGTTCATAGGGTCATTATGATTCATACTCAACTTGATAGCATCTAACAACAACACCACCACCACTAAGAAATATTTGCTTACTGATGAGATGGAGTTGCAAAAACAATTTTAGAAACAATTCTGTAGAAGCATTTCTTTGTCCAATAGGAACAATATGCATATTATTTTTCTAGTTTCATATTATATGTTAATTGTTTGTTGTGGAGATAATCACTATTAACAATTCCCTTCCTGTCTTCACAATGTTTTATTGCTGGCATATTTTCACTAAATTGTAACTCTTGCATTTTCAACCAACATTGTGATTTTCTATTTTATCCTAAATAAGAATTACTAATAGCTAAGATCACTTCATATAGATTCATAGTTGTTTGCTTTTAGATGAATTACTGTATTTAATTTTCATAAAAGCAGCTAGGAATAGCTTTATGCAAAAGTCTTTTTCCACATAAAATGGTCTCTTTTTAGTTTCTTGCATTTTTTTTTTCATTTTACACTGGTTTACCTACAAAGTTCATATATATTGCCCCTCTCACTGGATCCATACCTTCTCCCCAACACACCAACCCTCCACCCATCAAACTGTGCAACCCCATGATTATCCTCTCCTCACAGTCCCCACCTCTCTGATCCCTTCCGCCTAAGATCTTCAGACATATTTTACTAGTTATCTGTTTCTACAATAAGGGTATGATACAGTATTTGTCCTTCTCAGACTGGGTTAGTTCACTTAGCTTAATGCTCTCCAGTCCCTCCCAAGTTAGGTAATAATTTACAAAATCATTGCTCGTATATTCTGCAAAGTATTCCAACATGTGAAAGTACCATAATTTCTCAATCTATTCAATTATGGTTGGACATTTGGGCTGTTTCCAGGTTAATGTGATGGTGAATAATGTTGCTATGAACATTTGTAAAAGTCTTTGTTTGGGCCTCAGTTCTCATTCTCCTTGAGTATATTGCAAGCATTGGAATATCTGGGTCATATGGAACTTCTTTGTTGCAATCTTTTGCCCCATTTTATTTTATTTTGTATTGATTTGCATATGAGAGTTGTACACATTGTATTCCAATTATATACATTGTATATTATGCATTCCTTCATTCACACTGTTTCACATTATCATTCCCATACATTGTGTTATATAAAACACTATTGATCGCTGCCCACTATTATCTCACCTTTTTAGACCTCCAGTGGATCTTTCCTCATTCCTTCATTCTCTCTTCTGCCCACCAAACTCCGAGACCTAAAGATTCCCCCTGTCCATTCTCTCCGAAATACTACTTTTGTTGTTGAAAATGGACATTATATGTACATTTCAGTGATTTAAGGTACATTTTTTGAGGTGTGCTGCTTTTCTTGTCTATCTTTCCAGGTTGATTTCCCCTAATTAACATACACTTATTCTTTCAAGGAGTATCATCAATTTAATCCTATGTAGATCCCTTCCCTTTTAATACCGATTTATTTACAAAGTTTGAATAAATTGTTTTTCTCAAAAGACCCTTCTCATTTCCTTCACACACCTCCACCCATCAAATTGTATGTTACACTTTTTGAGGAAACACCAAATTGACTTCCAGAGTGTTTGTACCAATTTATAATTCCACCAACAGTGTATGACAGTTCCAAACTCTTCACAACCTCTCCAACATTTATTACTTGCTGCTCTGCTAAACTTTTCCACTGCCACTGAAACAAGATATATCAGAAGGAATTGGCTGATGTAGAAGAATTTCATGAAATAACATATGAGCAAGAGCCTGTGGTAAAGAAGGAGGAAGTTCAAGTTACTCTGAAGGAATTGGAAAAAAACAAGGGTCCACGAGTAGACAGCATACCAATTGATTTATTTCAACAGATGCTGCCCTAGATGTGCTCATTAAGTTGTGCCAGGAAATCTGGAGGACAGCCAGCTGGCCAGCTGACTGGAAAAGATTGATATTTGTTCCCATTCCCAAGAAAGGTGACTCAACAGAGTGCGGAAATTACCGAACAATATCATTAATATCACGTGCAAGCAAGATTCTGCTGAAAATTATCCAAAAACATTTGAAACAATATGTCAACAGAGAATTTCCAGATGTGAAGGCTGGATTTAGAAGAAGTCATAGTACTAGGGATATTATGGCTAATGTTAGATGGATCTTAGCAGAAAGCAGAGACTGCCAAAGGAATGTCTATCTGTGCTTCATTGACTATGCAAAGGTTTTGGCTGTGTGAATCACTACAAGCTGTGGCTGACTCTGAGAAGAATGGGAATCCTAGAACATTTGATTGTGCTTATACGAAACCTATACTTGGACCAGGAGGCAGTCATCAGAACAGAGCAAGGAGACATTACATGGTCCAACATCAAGAAGGGTCTGTTAGGGATGTATTTTGTCACCATACCTTTTCAATCTGTATGCAGAACAGATCATCCAAGATGCTGGGCTGTATGAGGAGGAGTGTGGCATCAGAATTGGTGAAAAGTGTCATCCACAACCTGCTTTATATGGATGACACAACCCTGCTTTCTGAAACTGAGGAGGACCTGAAGCGCTTGCTGCAGAAGGTCAAGGACTGCAGTGTTCAATATGGATTGAAGCTCACCACTGGGCCAATTGGCAGCATCAGTATGGATGGTGAAGAGATTGAGATAGTTAACAGTTTTAGTTTACTTGACTCCACAGTCAACAATGTTGGTAACAGCAGCCAGGAAATCAAAAGACAAATTACATTGGGAAAGTAAGCTGTGAGGGACCTCTCAAGGGTACTGAAGAGCAACAGCATCCGGCTGGAGACTAAGGTGAGCCTGATCCTGGCTATAGTCTTTGCAATTACAAGCTATGCATCAGAGTGTTGACAGGGATGATAGAAAGAGAACTGATGCCTTTGAGCTGTGGTGCTGGAGAAGAGTGTTGAATATACCATGGACTGCTAGGAGAACAAACAGGTTTTTCCTGGAAAGGGTGAAGCCAGAATGCACCTTGGAGTCAAGGATTCTGAAGCTTCTTCTGACATACTTTGGGCATGTTGCAAGGAGGGACTGGTCCTTGGAGGAGAACATCATGTTTGGGAGAGTGGAGGGACGGTGCAGGAGAGAAAGACCTTCTATGAGATGGATTGATTCTGTGATTGGAGTGGTGGGAATGAGTACATTTGAGATGGTGTAGTTGGCACAGGATAGAATGGCATTTAGGGCTCTTGTACATAGGGTGGCTATGAGCTGCAAGCGAATCCATGGCACATAACAACAACAACTGGAGTGAGATGATATCTCATTGTCATTTTGATTTGCATCTCTTCTGTTGTCAGTGATTTTGAACATTTCTTCATGTATCTGTAGGCCATCAAAATATCTTCCTCTGTGAAAAATTTTCTGTGTCTTCTGCCCCTTTTATAATTGTGTTATCAGTCCTTTATTTGTGGAGGCCCTATAGGATTGTGTAAACTTTTGATATGATATCCTTGTCAGAAATGATATTGCCAAGTGTTTTTTTTCCCCAATCCAGTAGGTTTTCTTTTCACACTGCTGGGAAAAGTTCTTTATTCACACAGGGATTTAATCTTTAGAAGGTTTGTTCATGAATTTTGTCCTCTTCAGATTGTACATTTCTGGCTGTACTTGGCAGTCTCTTTATATCATAGATAGGTCACTTAATCTTGATCCCAGTTTGTTTCTGATGCATTGTAGAGTTTTGGGTTTTACTCCCAAGTCTCTTGTCCACTTTGAGGTGATTTTGTGTATGATGTGAGATGTGGATCCTGTTTCTACTCTCTGCAGGGAGTAGTCCAGTTTTGCCAGAACCATTTGTTGAAAAGGTTGTCATTTCCCAATTTGACAGTTTTCCTTCTTTGTCAAATATCAGTTGACCATACATAGATAGATACATTTCTGGATTCTTGTTTCTGATCCATTGGTCTATGTGCCTATCACTGTAGCAATGCCATGCTGTTTTGGTTACTGCCACTGTGTAGTAGATTTTGAGATTAGGCAGTGCTATGTCTTCCACTTCATTTTTGTTTTTCAGAAGTGCTTTGCTTATTCAGAGTCTCTTTACTCTTCAAATAAACTGGAAAATTCCCCTTTCAATCTCCTTGAAAAAAAATGAATTGGTATCTTCACTGGGATAGTGTTGAACATGTAGTTTGCATTTGGTAGGATTGTAATTTTCACAATATTGAGTCTTCCTATCAGGAACAGGGCACATTTTCCCATTTCTTTAAGTCTTTATTAAGCATTATTTTAAACTAGGCTTTGTTGTAGTTGAAAAGAGATAAATCTACCTTTGTGTATATTTATCAATATCTCTTTTCTCATATACTTTGAGCATGTTGCTAGAAGAGATTATTCCCAGGAGAGGGACATCATGTTTGGAAAGGTGGAGAAACAGCAAAAGAGAGGAAGATGCTCAAATAGGTGGTTTGACCCAACAATTATAGCAATAGGCATGTGGCTGTTGAGGATGACACTGGATGGGACAGTGTTCAAACCTGTTGTCTATAAGGTCACTTTAAGTTGTACTCAAGTACACGTGACAAAACAACAGAGTGTATTAAAATAATTTTCTTTAGGAGTGACACTCATCACTAAGCACCAGAGGTTAATTTATGTGTATCTCTAATTTTATCTACCTCTCTACATATCTTTATATATATTGTCCTTAGCGTTGCTTTAGTCATATTTTCTAATACAAGTGAACATATATTAATATTCCTTCTTTTATCCAATAAATTGTATTTAATATTAAAAAGGCCAACAAAAAAAAAAACCATGAAATGATTTTGCAAATTAGTCCCTTAAAAAGCAAGCCATTACAGTTCTTTTTACAAGACTAATCAGTATCCTTTTCAATATGTAATCAAGTGTCATTTGTAATTGTTTGAACCACTTGGCACTTGCATGTAATTGAATCTATTAAAATACACTGGTTTACTTGCTTTTGCTTTTCCTCTAGAGTTTATAACTAAGAATTTTTACTTTTCTTTTTTATTTTTTGTTCCATAAAGCTTAGTTTTGGAGGAATTCCAGTGCCAGGAAAACCTGGAACCTTTTTAAAGAAAAACTTCCATGGATGCATTGAAAATCTTTACTACAACGGGATAAACATAATTGACCTGGCGAAACGAAGAAAACATCAAATTTATACAGTGGTAAGTAGAATCTATCGTCCACAACTTGATGATTTCTATCATTTTTTTGCAAACCTTGCTTCCTATACAACTCTGTCACAACTTCTTTAATTCATACAAGTTTTACCAGCTTTCCTACATTATCATGGAGTTGTTCTTGTTAGGTGGCCATGATTATAGTGATCTTATGAATAGCAGAATCATCCTCATCATCCTTGATATACTTCTGCCCATTGCTATAGTCACTGTGTCAGTACATCTTGTTAAAGATCTTCCTCTCTTTTGTTGACCCTCACCTTTTCCTAGCATGATGTGATGGTGTTGGAGAAGAGCACTGAACATCCCGTGGGTGGCCAAGAGAAACATCTGGGGTGCTCTTTAGAGGCAGGAATGATGAGGCCTCGCTTCACATACTTTGGACATGTTGCTAGGAGGTGCTATTCCTTAGAGAGGGACATAATGTTGGGAAGGGTGAAGGGTCAGTGAGGGAGAGGAAGACCCTCAAATACGTGGATTGACATGTGACTGCTACAATGGGCTCTTGTGTGTCATGAAGTGCGAGAATGACACAGGTCAGAACAAGGTTCGTATCTTTTGTTCTTAGGGTTACTATGAATCATGCTAGACTTGATGGCACCTAACAATAACAAGTGTGTTTTCAGAGGCTATAAATTACAAAGTAAGATTGTTCATCTTTCTCTTGTGGAATAGCTGGTGGATTTGAACAGCTTGCATTTAGAGTTGACAGTGACCCATAAGCAGAACAGATCATCCAGGAGGCTGGAATTTATGAAGATGAAAATGACAATAAAGATTGTTGGAGAACTCATCAAGAACCTGTACTATACATTTGGTACAAGCTTACTTATGAAACTGAGGAGGACCTGAGACATTTTTTATAGAAGGTCAAGGACTGCAGCCTTAAATATGGATTGAAGCTCAACATCAAGAAAACTAAGATTCTCACCACAGGACCAATTGACAGTTTCATGATAGAAAGTGAAGAAATTGAGATTTGTTAACAGCTTCTGCTTGCTTGGCTTCACAATCAGCACTCTTGGTATCAATAGACAGGGAATCAAAAGATTAATTGCACTTGGAAAATCTTTTTTGGGACCTTTTGAGAGTACTGAAGAATAATGATATCAAATTTAGAGACTAAGGTATGCCTGATTCTGGTTATGGTTTTCACAATTACTTACCTTAGAAAGCTAGAAAATGACTAATGATAATAGAAGAAGAATTAATGCCTTTGAGTTGTTGTGCTAGAAAAGAGTATTGATTATACCTAGGACTGTTAAAGTCCTGGAGAGCGTGAAACCAGTCTATTCCTTGGAGATAAGGATTCTGAAGCTTCATTTGACATACTTTGGGTGTGTTGCCAGAAGGGACCAGTCATTGGAGAAAGACATCATGCTTGGAATGATGGAGGGACACTGAAAGAGAGGAAGACCCTGGATGAGATGGATTGACTCCGTGACTGGGGTAATGAGATAGGTGAGTTGGAGACAATAAAGATAAAACAGGGTTCAGATCTGTTGTACATAGAGTCTTTATGAGTAGCAACTGACTTGATGGCACATAACAACAAAAATAACAAATATATATGTATTATTTGCCAGTGAGTTAACTATGACTCATGTTTTGTGGTTGCTAAGTGGCATTTTGTCAACTACAACTCCTAATGACTTTTTGAACAATGGCTTAGAACTTTGCCTTATCCTGTGCCATCCTTATCAATTCTGACATACTTGAGCCCATTGTTAAAGTCACTATATCAATCCATTCCATATGAATAGCAATTTAGAGCCTTGCCCTTTCTTGCACCATGCATGTGCACACACATACACATCTCTTCATTCAAAACACACACACATACACATACACATACTCCTTTTTGCTTATCAGCATGCTTAATTTCAACATTTAAAAGATTTCTAGTCCATTTTAAGGACACTCTGCATCATATAAAAATGGAGAATAATCATGTCAGATTGCAAACTTAAGGATGAAAAAACAAAGGAGGAGGAACAACTGTAAACAGACACTAGTGATTGGAATGTAAAATGTGAGAGGCAGGAATGTAAGAAAATTAGACATTGTTAAAGAAATAGAATACACAAATGCTGACATACTAGGTAATGGTGAAATGAGATGGATCGACATGGGATATTTTGAATCATATGATCTACTACGCTGGAGATTAAAAAGTGAGGAAAAATAAGGTTGTTTTCTAAGTTAAAAAAGTCATTTCTATATCCATCTTGAAATGCAATGTTGTAACAATATTTATACACATAAAAGGAAGCCCAGTGAATATCACCATCAGATTGCCCTTAACCACTTAATTTTATCAAAATGTATCTGCCAAACCACTGAAAATCATAACCCAGTAAAGTTAACCCCAAACTGTAACAATTAAAGCTATAATTACTCCTCTGTCTCTCATCATATACAATTAATACAAAATACCGTATTTGAAAGAGTTAAGTAAGAAGTAGTTATAAATGCATATCATATCACAAAATCTTATATTAATGAAAAAGATGTTGGTTTTTAATAATTTTCATGATGATTAATCTCTTCCCATGCAATTTACTGCTTTTGAAAACCCAGTGAAGGTTTAGCTATGGGTTAGTTCCAACTCAACTGTAAACAGCAACAACAATATTATATAAGAAGTCTCTCATATAGCTCTGACTGTTTCATATCTGCTATGCAATTATTTATCTGTCTTTCTTCTTTTCTTAACATAGTCTTATTAAAAGTTAGCTTAACAGGATATGAATAGACACTTAACCAAAGAAGACATTTAGATGGCAAATAAACAAATGAAGAAATGTTCAAAATTCCTATCAGAGAAATGTAAACAAAAACAAATATGAAATATAATCTCTCTCCAGCAACAATAGCAAAGTTCAACACAGCAGCAAACAACAAATGCTGACAAGGTTGGAAATAATTGAAACCCTTATTCACTGCTGGTGAAACTGTAAATTCCTGCAACAATTATGGAAAGCATCTGGCACTTTCTCAAAAAGTTGGAAATAGAAATGGTTTTGAAATTTGGGTGTGATAGACTCAAGGTCAAATTTTGGTTCCCGTGGATTTGATTTCATTTTTCTGAGTTTCAACTTCAACTTGCATTTGAGTAGTTGGTGGTCTGTTCCACAATCAGCACATGGACTAATTTTTACAGCTGATTTTATGCTTCTTTTGAGATTCTTTCCACAGATGTAATTGATCTCATTTGAATGCATACCATCAGGTGAAATTCATGTGTATGTTGTTTGTTGTTGTTATGTGCCGTCGAGTCGCCTGCGACTCATAGTGACCCTATGTACAACAGCCCTAATGCTTGGTAGGGTGGAGGGACGGTGCAGGAGGGGAAGGCCCTCTATGAGGTGGACTGATTTAGTGACTGGGATAATCAGGATGGGAGTGTCAGAGACAGTGTGATTGGCACAGGACAGAGCAGTCTCTCCTCACAACATGTCCAAAGTATAATAGATGGAGCCTGAGAATCCTTGCCTCCAAGGAGCCACCCAGTTTAACCCTTTCCAGGATGAATCTGTTTGTTTTCCTACCAGTCCATGGTATTCTCAATACTCTTCTCCAGCACCACAGCTCAAAGGCATCAATTCTCCTTCTATCCTCCTTGGTCATTGTCCAACTCTCTGATGCATAACAAGTGATTGTGAAGACCATGGCCTGTATCAAACACCATGTGTATAGACTGCATTTATGTTTCTTATAAAACATATTTGCAATTAATATGCCATTGATTGTGCAAAATTCTATTTCCAGCTTTATTTCTGTCACCAAGTCCATGTTTTCCGACCACTTGACCCTTCTTCTCTGTCCCATTTTTGTATTCCAGTCACCAATTATTAATGCATCTTCATTGAATGTTCAGTTGATCTATGATAACAAGAGTTGGTAGAAATCTTCTGTTTCCTTCTCTTTGGCTTTAGCTGTTGGTGCATATATTTGAATGATAATGATATTCACTGGACTTCCTGGTATGAGGAGTGTGAATATTATCCTGTCACTCACAGCATTATATTACAAGATTGATGCAGAAATCACTTTTTAAACTATTAAATAACCCCATTTTTCCTTACCTTTCATCTCCAGCACATAAGAGTAAAAAATAATTGATGCCTTTGAATTGTGGTATGGGAGAAGAATATGAAATATAATTTAAGGACTCCCAAAAACTGAACAATTATATCCTGGAAAAAGAAAGTCAGAATACTTCTTAGAAGCAAGGATTATGAAGCTTAAGTAGTTTCAACATGTTATTAGTCCCCATAGAAAGATATTATACCTGGAAAGGTGGAGAGTCAGTGACAAAAAGAAGACTCTTAATAAAATGAATTGACATAGTCACTCTGACAATGACCTGAAGCACAGCAAAAATTATGATGATGGAGTGAGATCAGGTGGTGTTTCATTCTATTGAACATGTATTCACTGCCTCAATAATATCTAATAACAACACAATGACAATAAAATTTTTTCTATTTTTGCATTTTGTTATTGTTGTTCTGTTGATGGCAGTTACTAAGGACAAGACACACTCAGGCCCATTCAGAGTATTACAGTGGAATGGGCAATGTATATACAGATGTGTATTTCTAGGACCTGACAGTAATGTTGCCTCTAAGACAATCCTGTCATTTTCATCTCAGAGGATGCAATATTTATTATCCCATGAAATTCCAAAAGAACAAACAAAATATCTTGGAAAAGGTGCAATTAGAATGCTCCTTGAAAGCAAGGATGGTGAAGCTTCATTTCTCATAGTGTGGGCATGTTACTTGGGAAGTGATATCATGCTTGGATAGGTGAAAGAAATGAAAACCCTCAATGAGATGAATTGAGACAGTGTCTGCAACAACGACTCAAGTGTGTCAGAGATAATGAGGGTGGTACAGTATAGGACAGAATTCAGTACTATTGTTCAGAGGGTTGTTATCAGTTGTATTTAATTAACATCACCTTACAACAAATCAGTA